ACTGTCACGCCCTGGCTCTGGGGACACTGTTATGTTGAGCCAGGGTGTGTAGATCTATGTTCCCTATTTCTATGTTGGCCTGAGTGACTCCCAATCAGAGGCAACGAGTGTCAGCTGTTTGCTGGTTGTCTCTGATTGGGAGCCATATTTAAACTGTCGGTTTTTCCTTTGTTTTTTGTGGGTTCTTGTTTCAAGTTGGTTGTGTTTGACCGTGTACTGTCACGTTACCGTCTTTGTTGTTTTGATCGCGTTTCGCTCAATAAATGAGTATGTTTGCCTGCAACGCTGCGCCTTGGTCCTCATCTGTTCCCGACGATCGTGACAAATACATTCTATATCCAACAATACATTATATATCCAACAATACATTACATATCCAACAATACATTATATATCCAACAATACATTATATATCCAACAATACATTATATATCCAACAATACATTACATATCCAACAATACATTATATATCCAACAATACATTATATATCCAACAATACATTACAGTTTATATTTCATCTCCTTTTACTATTCCCACCCACATCAATACACATAAGGTATATTATATATTGTCACGATCGTCATACATAGAGGAGGACCAAGGCGCAGCGTTGAAGGCGAACATATTTATTTAGATAATGATCACACGATCAAAACAACAAAACGATGACGTGGTAATACACAAACCAAATAAGAACAAGAAACCACAAACAATGAATGCCAAACGGCTACCTAAGTATGACTCCCAATCAGAGACAACGAGCTACAGCCCTCTCTGATTGGGAGCCACCCTGGCCAACATAGATATACAACGACAAGAACTTAAACAAATAAACACCCTGGCTCAACATACGAGAGTCCCCAGAGCCAGGGCGTGACATATATTCCCACCCACATCAGTACACATACAGTATATTATATATTGTATATTCCCACCCACATCAATACACATATAGTATATTATATATTATATATTCCCACCCACATCAGTACACATACAGTATATTATATATTCCCACCCACATCAATACACATACAGTATATTATATATTATATATTCCCACCCACATCAGTACACATACAGTATATTATATATTATATATTCCCACCCACATCAATACACATACAGTATATTATATATTATATATTCCCACCCACATCAATACACATAAGGTATATTATATATTCCCACCCACATCACTACACATACAGTATATTATATATTGATATATTGTAGCGATAAAGCAGACATTTCTGATCTGCATCTGGACTTGCAGAGCAGCAGACAGGTTATAGACTTGCAGAACAGCAGACAGGTTATAGACTTAAAGAGCAACAGACAGGTTATAGACCTGCAGAGCAGCAGACAGGTTATAGACTTGCAGAGCAGCAGACAGGTTATAAACTTGCAGAGCAACAGACAGGTTATAAACTTGCAGAGCAGCAGACAGGTTATAGACTTGCAGAGCAGCAGACAGGTTATAGACTTGCAGAGCAGCAGACAGGTTATAGATTTGCAGAGCTGCAGACAGGTTATAGACTTGCAGAGCAGCAGACAGGTTATAGACTTGCAGAGCTGCAGACAGGTTATAGACTTGCAGAGCAGCAGACAGGTTATAGACTTGCAGAGCAGCAGACAGGTTATAGACTTGCAGAGCAGCAGACAGGTTATAGACTTGCAGAGCAGCAGACAGGTTATAGACTTGCAGAGCAGCAGACAGGTTATGGACTTAAAGAGCAGCAGACAGGTTATAGACTTGCAGAGCAGCAGACAGGCTATAGACTTGCAGAGCAGCAGACAGGTTATGGACTTAAAGAGCAGCAGACAGGTTATAGACTTGCAGAGCAGCAGACAGGTTATAGACCTGCAGAGCAGCAGACAGGTTATAGACTTAAAGAGCAGCAGACAGGTTATAGACTTACAGAGCAGCAGACAGGTTATGGACTTGCAGAGCAGCAGACAGGTTATGGACCTGCAGAGCAGCAGACAGGTTATAGACTTGCAGAGCAGCAGACAGGTTATAGACTTGCAGAGCAGCAGACAGATAATAGACTTCCAGAGCAGCAGACAGGTTATAGACTTGCAGAGCAGCAGACAGGTTATAGACTTTCAGAGCAGCAGACAGGTTATTAACTTGCAGAGCAGCAGACAGGTTATAGACTTGCAGAGCAGCAGACAGATAATAGACTTGCAGAGCAGCAGACAGGTTATAGACTTGCAGAGCAGCAGACAGGTTATAGACTTAAAGAGCAACAGACAGGTTATAGACTTGCAGAGCAGCAGACAGGTTATAGATTTGCAGAGCAGCAGACAGGTTATAGACTTGCAGAGCAGCAGACAGATAATAGACTTGCAGAGCAGCAGACAGGTTATAGACTTGCAGAGCAGCAGACAGGTTATAGACTTTCAGAGCAGCAGACAGGTTATCAACTTGCAGAGCAGCAGACAGGTTATAGACTTGCAGAGCAGCAGACAGGTTATAGACTTTCAGAGCAGCAGACAGGTTATCAACTTGCAGAGCAGCAGACAGGTTATAGACTTGCAGAGCAGCAGACAGGTTATAGACTTGCAGAGCAGCAGACAGATAATAGACTTGCAGAGCAGCAGGCAGGTTATAGACTTGCAGAGCAGCAGACAGGTTATAGACTTGCAGAGCAGCAGACAGGTTATAGACTTGCAGAAACAGCAGACAGGTTATAGACTTGCCGAGCAATAGACAGGTTATGGACTTGCAGAGCAGCAGACAGGTAATATACTTGCAGAGCAGCAGACAGGTTATGGACTTGCAGAGCAGCAGACAGGTTATAGATTTGCAGAGCAGCAGACAGGTTATAGACTTGCAGAGCAGCAGACAGATAATAGACTTGCAGAGCAGCAGACAGGTTATAGACTTGCAGAGCAGCAGACAGGTTATAGACTTTCAGAGCAGCAGACAGGTTATCAACTTGCAGAGCAGCAGACAGGTTATAGACTTGCAGAGCAGCAGACAGGTTATAGACTTTCAGAGCAGCAGACAGGTTATCAACTTGCAGAGCAGCAGACAGGTTATAGACTTGCAGAGCAGCAGACAGGTTATAGACTTGCAGAGCAGCAGACAGATAATAGACTTGCAGAGCAGCAGACAGGTTATAGACTTGCAGAGCAGCAGACAGGTTATAGACTTGCAGAGCAGCAGACAGGTTATAGACTTGCAGAAACAGCAGACAGGTTATAGACTTGCCGAGCAATAGACAGGTTATGGACTTGCAGAGCAGCAGACAGGTAATATACTTGCAGAGCAGCAGACAGGTTATGGACTTGCAGAGCAGCAGACAGGTTATAGACTTGCAGAGCAGCAGACAGGGTATAGACTTGCAGAGCAGCAGACAGACAGGTTATAGACTTACGGAGCAGCAGACAGGTTATAGACTTGCAGAGCAGCAGACAGGTTATAGACTTGCAGAGCAGCAGACAGGTAATAGACTTGCAGAGCAGCATACAGGTTATAGACTTGCAGAGCAGCAGACAGGTAATAGACTTGCAGAGCAGCATACAGGTTATAGACTTGCAGAGCAGCAGACAGGTTATAGACTTGCAGAGCAGCAGACAGGTTATGGACTTGCAGAGCAGCATACAGGTTATAGACTTGCAGAGCAGCAGACAGGTAATAGACTTGCAGAGCAGCAGACAGGTTATAGACTTACAGAGCAGCAGACAGGTAATAGACTTGCAGAGCAGCAGACAGGTTATAGACTTGCAGAGCAGCAGACAGGTAATAGACTTGCAGAGCAGCAGACAGGTTATAGACTTACAGAGCAGCAGACAGGTTATAGACTTAAAGAGCAGCAGACAGGTTATAGACTTGCAGAGCAGCAGACAGGTTATAGACTTGCAGAGCAGCAGACAGGTAATAGACTTGCAGAGCAGCAGACAAATAATAGACTTGCAGAGCAGCAGACAGGTTATAGACTTGCAGAGCAGTAGACAGGTTATAGACTTGCAGAGCAGCAGACAGGTTATAGACTTGCAGAGCAACAGACAGGTTATAGACTTGCAGAGCAGCAGACAGGTAGGTTATAGACTTGCAGAGCAGCAGACAGGTTATAGACTTGCAGAGCAGCAGACAGGTTATAGACTTGCAGAGCAGCAGACAGGTAATAGACTTGTAAAGCAGCAGACAGGTTATAGACTTGCAGAGCAGCAGACAGGTAATAGACTTGCAGAGCAGCAGACAGGTTATAGACTTGCAGAGCAGCAGACAGGTTATGGACTTGCAGAGCAGCAGACAGGTAATAGACTTGTAAAGCAGCAGACAGGTTATAGACTTGCAGAGCAGCAGACAGGTAATAGACTTGTGTACATATTTTCATGTCAACAGACATGGCTGTAAGTGGTTGGGACCGCATAGCTGACCAGTTCATATCCAGACTCCGGGGTTAACAGTCATTGTGGGGACCTTGTGTAGGCTAAACCAGAGAGAAGAAGAATATGATAATCTAGTCACTACTGCCCCCTTGTGGGTCAACCAAGCAACTGATTCTACAGCCTTCATTTATTTACTGGTTGGAAACTAAACTAGTTCAATTGAGTTTATGAACTCAGACCTAAGCAGACTCACATTGGTCACAGATTCATCCCAGAAATAAAATTCAGTGCATCAGTGTGTTAACATACTTGTATTATTTATATAAACAAAGTGGTACCAGCCAACATGTATAAAACAATCAAAACATTACATTTAATATAAGACAGACCGTTCAGAGACTTCATATTAACTAGGCATGTGTCCCAAATACCACCCTAATCTCTATATAGGGCACTACGTAGGGAACATGTCTCCAACTGCCACCCTATTCTCTAGGGAACATTTAGTGCACTACATAGGGAACATGTCTCCAACTACCATCCTATTCTCTATATAGGGCACTACATAGGGAACATGTCTCCAAATGCCATCCTATTCTCTAGGGAACATTTAGTGCACTACATAGGGAATAGGGTTCTCCTCTAGTCGGGCAGATCAGACATGAGATGTGCCCTGGCTGCTGGCAGGGTTAGTGGTGGTGTTGGCTTCCTTCTTATACCGACCCTTATCCCGTCCAGGGCCATCCCTCTGTGGGCACGAGGACACCAGGAGACCCCCTGAATGAATGGAAGGACATTTAGACATTTAAAAGACATAGAGTTGCCTCAGCATGTTTCAGTACATCAATACATCCATCAAAAATTGAGGATTAAAAACACAAAGTCTGACTTATTGCCATTGTGGTCCGTACCTGGCCATGAGCGCTCCTGACCCCCAGCAGGTGAAGATGGCAGCCCCCCCAGATCTTTCTTCAAGCCCTGGTGTACCAGAGGATTCTAGAAGTCAGTGACGGCACTGAGCGGTCCAGCTGGGAGGCAGCAGACCCAGCATCCCGGCAATCAGGAACAGAATCCCAGCTGCCGTGGCAACCCGGGCCTTGGTTCCAGAACCCTGAGGCCCGGGCAATTGGTGCACTTGCCCCCGGCGATGCTGGCAAGGGTGGCGACCATGGAGACGAAGATGAAGATGATGAGGATGGTTCTGGAAGCCTCTGGGGAGAGCCAACATGGAGTCATACACCTTGACCAGGAAGAGAAGAGGAAGTCATGTTAATACCTCAACTGTTAATATGAACCTTTTTTTTTTTTAATACATAACCATTAACTTGTGTATGTAGGTTAAAATGTGTATTCGCCATCTTTAAAGTTATTAAAATGCCGGTCAGAGAAAGTCTTTGAAAATGTGGTTGTGACTGAAAATAAAACATCTTTGCAGTAACTAGTGGTGCCTCAGGTTATTAGGAAGACTGGTAGGAACCTTGTCACTTATTGGGTCCCAAATGGCCCCGTATTCCCCATTGGGTTCTGGTCAAAAGTAGGGCACTATATAGGGCATAGGGTGCCATAGGGTTCTTCTGGTAAAAGTAGTGCACTATATAGGGAATAGGGTGTCATAGGGCTCTGGTCTAAAGTAGTGTTCTATATAGGGAATAGGGGCCATAGGGCCTGGTCTAAAGTATGAACTATTAGGGAATAGGGTGTCATAGGGCTCTGGTTAAAAGTAGTGCACTATATAGGGAATAGGGTGTCATAGGGACTCTGGTCTAAAGTAGTGAACTATATAGGGAATAGGGTGTCATAGGGCTCTGGTCTAAAGTAGTGCACTATATAGGGAATAGGGTGTCATAGGGCTCTGGTCCTAAAAGTAGTGCACTATATAGGGAATAGGGTGCCATAGGGCTCTGGTCTAAAGTAGTGCACTATATAGGGAATAGGGTGCCATTAGGGCTCTGGTCTAAAGTAGTGCACTATATAGGGAATAGGGTGGCATAGGGCTCTGGTCTAAAGTAGTGCACTATATAGGGAATAGGGTGGTCATAGGGCTCTGGGTCTAAAGTAGTGCACTATATAGGGCATAGGGTGTCATAGGGCTCTGGTCTAAAGTAGTGTTCTATATAGGGCATAGGGTGTCATAGGGCTCTGGTTCTAAAGTAGTGCACTATATAGGGCATAGGGTGTCATAGGGCTCTGGTCTAAAGTAGTGTTCTATATAGGGAATAGGGTGTCATAGGGCTCTGGTCTAAAGTAGTGTTCTATATAGGGAATAGGGTGTCATAGGGCTCTGGTCTAAAGTAGTGTTCTATATAGGGAATAGGTTGCCATAGGGCTCTGGTTTTAAGTAGTGAACTATATAGGGAATAGGGTGTCATAGGGCTCTGGTTAAAAGTAGTGCACTATATAGGGAATAGGGTGTCATAGGGCTCTGGTTAAAAGTAGTGCACTATATAGGGAATAGGGTGCCATAGTGCTCTGGTCTAAAGTAGTGAACTATATAGGGAATAGGATGTCATAGGGCTCTGGTTTAAAGTAGTGCACTATATAGGGAGAACGAGAGAGCCTTTGACCCCTGACCTTGCATCTGTCCAGTACTCTGCACCCCAGTTCATCCACAGCCCCTCCCAGAAGATCTGAGCGGTCACTATGTTGTTGCCGACAAAGGCTGGCACTCTTCCACAGCAGCAGGGTTACAAGACAAGATGATTGCCAACCAGCCCCATGACCCCTGAGAGATGAGATTGTACTTTATTAATCCCCTAGGGGGGGAAATGAGTTCGTCATCCTCACAGCCATAGTATATTCACAACATTTTTAAAACAATCATAGGACAATAAATATATGATTGGTGAGGTAAAATGGGCATTATAGTCTGCAAAATGGCCATTAAAGTGCTGGGTGATGCAGGACTACCCAGAGCCCAGCACCCGCAGCCCGACAGACATGGGCTCCCGGGTGGCGCAGTGGTCTAAAGCACTGCATCGCAGTGCTAGCTGTGCCACTAGAGATCCTGGTTCGAATCCAGGCTCTGTCCGACCTGCAGCCCTACAGACGTGGCGGTCGAACAAGAGTCCTGAACTGCTGCTAGCTACAGGGGAAATTGGAGCCAAACAGACGGGATCAACAGGGAGATGATGCAATGAGACAGCGATCAATTCACTTTGAAGAATGGTTCTGAAGAAAAGCCACTCTTCCTCAAAGGGTGTAGGCCTAGTACGAACCACCGGTCCAGAGTGTGCTCTTCTGCCCTATATTCACACAGGCTACATAAAGGACATGCCAATTCCAGGTTGCATATATCGCCTTTACAGAGTATGTTTTAAATGGCAGAGAGATAAGGGGTAGAGGTAGACAGAATGAACTTGCATAAACCAAATTGTGTGTGACAAACTCAAAGGATGAGGGAGGTTTTCAAAGCGTTCCATAAATAAAGCGGTCATAATCACTGGTCACCTGTGACCTAGTCCTTCTTGGAATCAACAGCCAGACCTGAGTCCTTCGACAAGACAGTGGGGGGATTGATTTATATAGGTAGGGCACAGGTGTCACCTGTTAATTCATAAACGAGCACAAATCCAATATCATCTCATGACAACCAATCAACGGAATGGGAAAGGTATCACGTGTTTTCGATCATGCGCCGTTTTGAAATGAGAGACTTTACAAAGATGATAAATCACTAATTGACTCAGCCAATAATAGGTGGTGAGAAACGTTCAAGAAATGTAATCAATAATATAAACACAAGATCCCCCTTCAATGTAGGGGCGGGATTTCTGGATGATGTGCAGTTTTCTCCAATCACAAGACGTATTTTTTCGCCGTCAGAAATACAGACGTGAATATCATCCAATGAAATCTCTCAACTCGATACGCTGGGCTGGACAGGTCGCCGTAGCTACGCGCTAGGCTAGGCAAGCAGTATGGCGGAAGAAGAAGAGAGTGAATTTGAGTTGGAAGGTTTTAAAAAAGAATTGGAGAGTTTGTTTGTCAGTAACTCAAGTGAAGAATACGGACTCCAAAGCAAGTTATACTGCGCACGGTTCTGTAAGGTAAGAGATGTATTCGAGTCACATCCTGGGGGAAAAAACGCAGGACTTGTTTTCCAGTACGGGCTTGAGCTAGCTAACGTTAGCTAGCTTGGGCCAGAGCTCCGTTCACTAACATTACATTTACGACATTTAGCAGACGCTCTTATCCAGAGCGACTTACAGTTAGTGAGTGCATACAATTTTTCATACTGGTCCCCCCCCAGTGGGAATCGAACCCACAACCCTGGCGTTGCAAGCGCCATGCTTTAACCAACTGAGGTACACGGGACTCTCTTCTAGGGCTAACTAGCCAACCGACCAATTCCCCTCCCCCAGAAACAGACGGCTAACAACCCGTATATGGCTAGCTAGCAACCAATAAACGAACTGTTTCTGTAATGTCACTTACGTTATATATGCTAATTCACCCTTTTTCAAAATGTATGATGGTATACTGTTAGTAACTAGCTACATGGAAAGCATTGTCAGTCAAGTCGTGTTCGGTAGCTTGCTTGTTAGCCAAGTTATCTGCAGTTCCCAGTTTAGCTAGCTAGTTAGTTAGTTAGTTAGTTAGCTGCTAGTTTGTCAACAGTAGATTCGGGAACTAACTAGGACGTCTGGTGGAATTCAATGACTGCACTGATGACCTAGCAATCATATGAAGTCGCTTTTTTTTCTCCCAATTTGTCATGAGTAAGCCATGTTTTAGTTAGATCGCAACCAAAGATGGTTAACTCTTTTTGTTTAGGCTTGAACCGTTAACGTTACAGATACTTATAGCTAACTACAGTGTCTAGTTAGATCTGACTATGGTATAGTATAGTTAGCCGGCGAAGTATTCAGTTGCTACAAAAAGACGTTGAGATGATGATACGATAGAAAGGGACGGACCCCATTGGTTTAATTGGGCCCATCCAACCTGTTGGTATAGTTTCCCGGTCCACTCTTTCTTCTCTCTCTCTCCCCCCCCCTGTAGTTGGTGGAGGTGTATACAGGACGGTGGCAGGTACCTTTGCCACAGCTGCAGGTGCTCCAGACTGCTCTATGCTCCTTTGTCCAAGCCTCAGCCTGCTTCCCGTCTGACTGTGAACACGTATGCTACACCCTGAGTAGCCTTGCCCTGTAAGTATGAGCCCTGACTTGCTTAGCTGCTCCTCCGGGGGGGTTACATAGCGTCATGTCACCCCCCCCCCAGTCTATCTTCAGTATGAGTAGTGTTGTTTCCTAGGCTGCCTCTGCACCCTTTCAGAGATGCCTTGTCATTTCATCCCTGTTGGAACATTATTGAAGGAGATATAAGAGGCTGAAACTGTTCCCTCCCCTTTCTCTCTCTCTCTCCCCCCCGCAGGAGTGTTTTTGAGCTCTTGCTGTTTTTGAACAGGAATAAGATCCTGCAGGATCCCCTGAAAAACATCCTTGATTCGTTCCAGGTGAGTTGTCTTTAACCCCTGTTCCCAAATCTCAGGAATCGTAGACATGTTAGCCTGGTCCCAGATCTGTTTGGTGCTGTCTTACCAACTCCTATGGTTGTTGTCATGACATAAGAATGACCGTAGGAGTTGGCAAGACAGCACCAAACAGGCTGTATTGAATCAGGTGACAAATCAGATCATGTCCGTTTCTCACTGCTTTATTTATGGAAATCTTTCAAACCTCTGCTTTTGAATTTGGCAAGATGGCACACAGATCTTAGACCAGGCTAACCTCTCCTCCTCCTCCTCCTCCTCTTCCTCCTCCTCCTCCTCCTTTCAGGAATGTTTTTCCCACCTGGAGAGGCACCAGAACATTCACCTGCTGCAGGTGGGACAGATCATCAGAGAGAAGGGGCCATGGACCAGCCCCATACTACAGGCCATCCTGAAGGACTCACAACTACCCCGGGATGAAGGTGAGAGAGAGGGCCTACTGACTATAGAAATCTGTTATGTTGTATTAGGTCTACTGACTATAGAAATCTGTTATGTTGTATTAGGTCTACTGACTATAGAAATCTGTTATGTTGTATTAGGCCTACTGACTATAGAAATCTGTTATGTTGTATTAGGTCTACTGACTATAGAAATCTGTTATGTTGTATTAGGCCTACTGACTATAGAAATCTGTTATGTTGTATTAGGCCTACTGACTATAGAAATCTGTTATGTTGTATTAGGCCTACTGACTATAGAAATCTGTTATGTTGTATTAGGTCTACTGACTATAGAAATCTGTTATGTTGTATTAGGCCTACTGACTATAGAAATCGTATGTTGTATTAGGCCTCTGACTATAGAAAATTCTGTTATGTTCTATTAGGTCTACATGGACTATAGAAATTCGTTATGTTGTATTAGGCCTCATGACTATAGAAAATCTGTTATGTTGTATGTATTTAGGCCTACTGACTAGAGAAATCTGTTATTTGTTTATTCAGGCCTACTGACTATAGAATCGTATGTTGTTTAGGCTACTGGACTATAGACAAATCTGTATGTTTATTAGCCTACTGACTATAGAAATCTGTTATGGTTGTATTTAGGCCTACTGACTATAGAAATCTGTTATGGTTGATCTTAGGCCTACTGACTATAGGACATCTGTTATGTTGTATTAGGCCTCTGTACTATAGAAATCTATTTATGTTGTATTAGGGCCTACTGACTATAGAAATCTGTTATGTTGTATTAGGCCTACTGACTATAGAAATCTGTTATGTTGTATTAGGTCTACTGACTATAGAAATCTGTTATGTAAATCAGTTGTTCTGTAAAATGTCTGCTCCGGAGTCCTCCATCTATAATGACATGAGTCAGTTAACTAGAGGATGCTGTCTCTGTGGACTGAATATTTACCGGTGTATAACAACGCTCTCTTTCCGCCTTCCTCTCTCCAGTGGACAGGTACAGGCCCATAGGGCTCTGGTCAAATGTAGTGCCCTATATAGGGTGACATTTGGGATGCACCACTGACTCTTGCCTGGTCTCTCTCTCCAGTGGACAGGTACATAGACTCGGAGGTACCAGTGTTCTTTGAGCTGCGTGTTCGTTACCTGCTCTCCAGTGAGATGTTCACCGAGGCTGTGGTGCTGGCCAAGACCTGCGCCCAGCACCCCGTGGCCGGACGACACCTGTTCTTCCCGCAGGCCTACCTCACCTGTCTCCTGAAGGCGTCGCTCTCCCACCGTATGCACCAAGAGGTGAGGGAACAAGCGTTTGGTCATTTGGATTCCTGGGTTCTGGATTAGAGCACCTGCTAAATGTAAAATGTTTGGAAGGGCTGATGACTGCTGGGAGTATTTTACTGTAACTGATAGCTAGGATCTACAGTAGAGATGGGAGTATTTTACAGTAACTGATGTGCTAGCTAGGATCTACAGTAGAGATGGGAGTATTTTACAGTAACTGATAGCTAGGATCTACAGTAGAGATGGAGTATTTTACAGTAACTGATAGCTAGGATCTACAGTAGAGATGGGAGTATTTTACTGTAACTGATAGCTAGGATCTACAGTAGAGATGGGAGTATTTTACTGTAACTGATAGCTAGGATCTACAGTAGAGATGGGAGTATTTTACAGTAACTGATAGCTAGGATCTACAGTAGAGATGGGAGTATTTTACAGTAACTGATAGCTAGGATCTACAGTAGAGATGGGAGTATTTTACTGTAACTGATAGCTAGGATCTACAGTAGAGATGGGAGTATTTTACTGTAACTGAGCTAGATCTACAGTAGAGAGGGGAGGATGATCTTTTAGATTATTGACGGGAAGGCTTCGTAGGTCCGTTATGGGGTGGGTGGTATATTGACGGGAAAGGCTTCGTAGGTCCGGTATGGGGGTGGGTGGTATTATTGCTGGAAGGCTTCGTAGGTCCCGATATGGGGGGTGGGGGGGTTATTAACTGGAAGGCTTCTAGGTCCGGTATGGGGGTGGGTGATTATTGATGGAAGGCTTCGTAGGGTCCGGTATGGGGGTGGGTGGTTGGTTTTATTGACTGGAAGGCTTCGTAGGTCCGGTATGGGGGTGGGGTGGTGGTATTATTTGACGGGAAAGGCTTCGTAGGCCCGGGTTATGGGGGGTGGTGGGTGTATTATTGACTGGAAGGCTTCGTAGGTCCGGTAATGGGGGTGGGTGGTTGGTATTATTGACTGGAAGGTTTCGTAGGTCCGGTTGGGGGTGGGGTGGTATTATTGACTGGAAGGCTTCGAGGTCCGGTATGGGGGTGGGGGTATTTTACTGAAGGCTTCTATCCAGGGTGGTGGTTGGTTTATTACTGGAAGTTTCCCTAGGTCCGGTATGGGGTGGGTGGTATAATGACTGGAAGGCTTCTAGGTCCGGTATGGGGGGGGGGGTGGAAAATTATTGACTGAATGCCTCGTAGGTCGGTAGGGGGGTGGGTGGTATTATTGACTGGAAGGCTTCTTAGGTCCGGGTATGGGGTGGGTGGTGGTATTAATGACTGGAAGGCTTCGTAGGTCCGGTATGGGGGGGGGGGGGGGGGTGGTATTATTGGCTGGAAGGCTTCGTAGGTCCGGTATGGGGTGGGTGTATTATTGACTGGAAGGCTTCGTAGGTCCGGTATGGGGGTGGGTGGTGGTATTATTTGGACTGGAAGGCTTCGTAGGTCCGTATGGGGGGGTGGGGGGGTTTGTATTATTGACTGGAAGGCCTTAGAGGTCCGGGTATTGGGGGGGGGGTGGTATATTGACGGGGTGTGGGGTATGGGGGGGTGGTATTATTGGACTGGGAAGGTCCGTAGGTCCGGTATGGGGGGGTGGGTGGGGTATTATTGACTGGAAGGCTTCGTAGGTCGGTATGGGGTGTGGTGGGTGGTATTATTGACTGGAAGGCTTCGTAGGTCCGGTATGGGGGGGGGTGGGTGGTATATTTGACTGGAAGGTTCGAGGTCCGGTATGGGGGTGGGTGTGGTATTATTGACTGGAAGGCTTCGTAGGTCCGGTATGGGGGGTGGGTGGTATTATTGACTGGAAGGCTTCGTAGGTCCGGTATGGGGTTGGGTGGGGTGGTCTTATTGACTGGAAGGCTTCGTAGGTCCGGTATGGGGGTGGGTGGTGGTATTATTGACTGGAAGGCTTCGTAGGTCCGGTATGGGGGGGTGGGTGGTATTATTGACTGGAAGGCTTCGTAGGTCCGGTATGGGGGGGGTGGGTGGTATTATTGACTGGAAGGCTTCGTAGGTCCGGTATGGGGGTGGGTGGTTGGTATTATTGACTGGAAGGCTTCGTAGGTCCGGTATGGGGGGGGGTGGTATTATTGACTGGAAGGCTTCGTAGGTCCGGTATGGGGTGGGTGGATTATTGACTGGAAGGCTTCGTAGGTCCGGTATGGGGGGTGGGGGGGGTATTATTGACTGGAAGGCTTCGTAGGTCCGATATGGGGGTGGGGGTATTATTGACTGGAAGGCTTCGTAGGCCCGGGTTTATGGGGGGTGGGTGGTATTTGACTGGAAGGCTTCGTAGGTCCGGTATGGGGGTGGGTGGGTGGTATTATTGACTGGAAGGCTTTCGTAGGTCCGGAAATGGGGGTGGGTGGGTGGTATTATTAAACTGGAAGGCTTCGTAGGTCCGGTATGGGGGTGGGTGGGTGGTATTATTGACTGGAAGGCTTCGTAGGTCCCGGTAGGGGGTGGGTGTTGGTATTATTGACTGGAAGGTTTCGTAGGTCCGGTATGGGGGTGGGTTGGTATTATGAGGAGGCTTCGTAGGTCCGGTATGGGGGGGTGGGTGGTATTATTGACTGGAAGGCTTCGTAGGTCCGGTATGGGGGGGGGTGGGTGGTATTATTGACTGGAAGGCTTCGTAGGTCCGTGGTATGGGGGGTGGGTGGTATTATTGACTGGAAGGCTTCGTAGGTCGGTTATGGGGGTGGGTGGGTGGTATTATTGACTGGAAGGCTTCGTAGGTCCGGTATGGGGGTGGGTGGGTATTATTGACTGGAAGGACTTCGTAGGGTCCGGTATGGGGGGTGGGTGGGTGGGTATTATTGACTGGAAGGCTTCGTAGGTCCGGTATGGGGGGGGGGGGGGTGGTATTATTGGCTGGAAGGCTTCGTAGGTCCGGTATGGGGGTGGGTGGTATTATTGACTGGAAGGCTTCGTAGGTCCGGTATGGGGGTGGGTGGGTGGTATTATTGACTGGAAGGCTTCGTAGGTCCGGTATGGGGGTGGGGGGGTGGTATTATTTGACTGAAGGCTTCGTAGGTCCGGTATGGGGGGGTGGGTGGTATTATTGAACGGAAGGCTTCGTAGGTCCGGTAATGGGGGTGGGTGGTATTATTGACTGGAAGGCTTCGTAGGTCCGGTAGGGGGTGGGTGGGTGGTATTATTGACGGGAAGGGCTTCGTGGGTTTTCCGGTATGGGGGTGGGTGGTTGGTATTTTTTGACTGGAAGCTTCGTAGGTCCGGTTGGGGTGGGTGGTTGGTTTTATTGACTGGAAGGCTTCGTAGGTCCGGTATGGGGGGGGGGTGGTATTATTGACTGGAAGGCTTCGTAGGTCCGGTATGGGGGTGGGTGGTATTATTGACTGGAAGGCTTCGTAGGTCCGGTATGGGGGGGGGTGGGGTATTATTGACGGGAAGGTTTCGTGGGTTTCCGGTATGGGGGTGGGTGGTTATTTTTGCTGGAAGGCTTCGTGGGTTTCCCGGTATGGGGGTGGTGGTGGTATTATTGACTGGAAGGCTTCGTAGGTCCGGTATGGGGGGGTGGGTTGGTATTATTGACTGGAAGGCTTGTAGGTCCGGTATGGGGGTGGGGGGTATTATTTGACTTGGAAGGCTTCTGTGGGTCCGGTATGGGGGGTGGGTGGGGGGTTATTATTGACGGGAAAGGGCTTCGTAGGTCCGGTATGGGGGGGGTGGTTGGTATTATTGACTGGAAGGTTCGTAGGGTCCGGTAGGGGGTGTGGGGGGGGTGGTATTATTGATTTGGAAGCTTCGTAGGTCCGGTATGGGGGGTGGGTGGTTGTATTATTGCTGGAAGGCTTCGGGGTTTCCGGTATGGGGGGGGGTGTTATTATTGACGGGAAGGCTTCGTAGGTCCGGAAATGGGGGTGGGTGGTTGGTATTATTGACTGGAAGGCTTCGTAGGTCCGGTATGGGGGTGGGTGGTATTATTGACTGGAAGGCTTCGTAGGTCCGGTATGGGGGTGGGTGGTAGGTCCGGTATGGGGGTGGGTGGTAGGTCCGGTATGGGGGTGGGTGGTTGGTCCGGTATGGGGGTGGGTGGTAGGTCCGGTATGGGGGTGGGTGGTATTATTTAAAGCGATATTTGACCAGTACTCTCATGTCTTTTTATTATCTGTTTACATCACTTATTCTTGGGTGATCTCATTAGGAATATACCAGTGATGTAGTGGGAGAAATAGGTGGGTAAACTCTGATCACCGTTCGCTGTGAGTAAAGTAACTCTCCCTATACTTTAAATGCATTTTTTTTTTTTTTGCAAAAGATGGGTAAACGTTAGCGCAACAAAAAAGAAAGTACGTAAACGGCGTTGACCTGCGTTCGCCCTCCACTACACCACTGGAATCTACGGTATAAATGCTTGAATGATCTCACCATTTCTTCTCTCTCTCTCTCTCTCTCTCTAACCTGTAGATGTCTGCCATCGACGGTAAGGATGCGGTGGATATCGTGTGTAACACGGAGAGTGAGGAGAGAGATGAGACGCTTCTGTCCCTCTGCAGAGCCTTCCTCTCTCAGCAACTACACAGAGGAGACATGTATCGCGTGTGGTGAGGCTCTTCACTTTTCAACACACTTCATACCTGTCCGTGTTCTACGTCAGGGGCCGTATGGATCAAGAATTTCAGAGTTGGGAGTGGTGATTTTAGGATCCGTTTTCCCCTTTTTAGATCACAATTTAATACGATTTACAAGGAAAGGGGGGGGCCTGATCCTAGATCAGCGCTTTTACTCTTGACTCTTGATTGATCATGTTGCGTCCTTACATGCTCCAACAGAGTTCTGCTGACGGTACCAGAGGTAGAGATAATAGCCGACCCATGTCTCCCCAGATACTCTCTCTGCTGACGGTACCAGGGGTAGAGATGATAGCCGACCCACGTCTCCCCAGATACTCTCTCTGCTGACGTACCCAGAGGTGAGAGATGTAAGCCGACCCATGTTATCCCCCAGATACTCTCTCTGCTGAACGGTCCCAGAGGTAGAGATAATAGCCGGACCCCACGTCTCCCCAGATACTCTCTCTGCTGACGGTAACCAGAGGTAGAGATTAATCGCCGACCCACGTCTCCCCAGAATACTCTCTCCTGACCCAGGTAGTATACCCCCCCCGTCTCCCCAGATACTCCTCTCTGCTGACGGTTACCAGAGGTAGAGGATAAATAGACCGACCCATGTCTCCCCAGATACTCTCTCTGCCTGACGGTACCAAGAGGTTAGAGATGATAGCTGACCCATGTCTCCCCAGATACCTCTCGTCTGCTGGACGGTAACAGAGGTAGAGATAATAGCTGACCCATGTCTCCCCAGATACTCTCTCTGCTGACGGTACCAGAGGTAGAGATAATAGCCGACCCATGTCTCCCCAGATACTCTCTCTGCTGACGGTACCAGAGGTAGAGATAATAGCCGACCCACGTCTCCCCAGATACTCTCTCTGCTGACGGTACCAGAGGTAGAGATAATAGCCGACCCTGTCTCCCCAGATACTCTCTCTGCTGACGGTACCAGAGGTAGAGATATAGCTGCCCTGTCTCCCCAGATACTCTTCTCTGCTGACGGGACCAAGGTAGAGATAATAGCTGACCTGTCTCCCCAGATACTCTCTCCGCGACGGTACCAGAGGTTAGAGATAATTTGCCGACCCATGTCTCCCCAGATACTCTCTCTGCTGACGGTACCAGGTAGAGATAATAGCTGACCCATGTCTCCCCAGATATCTCTCTGCTGACGGTACCAAGGTAGAGATAATGCTGACCCATGTCTCCCCAGATACCCCTCTCTTGCTGACGGTACCAGAGGTAGAGATAATAGCTGACCCACGTCTCCCCAGATACTCTCTCTGCTGACGGTACCAGAGGTAGAGATAATAGCTGACCCATGTCTCCCCAGATACTCTCTCTGCTGACGGTACCAGAGGTAGAGATAATAGCCGACCCATGTCTCCCCAGATACTCTCTCTGCTGACGGTACCAGAGGTAGAGATGATAGCCGACCCACGTCTCCCCAGATACTCTCTCTGCTCTGTCATTTCAGACCTCTTGTTCCTGGATTTACAAACAGATGTTTTTAGGATTAATTAACAAACAGGGATATTTGGATACAGTAATTGCTAGGCTTAAGCTGATGTCACATGATGTGGACGCAATTTATGTTGCTTGCACATAGTTGCATCTGGGTTGCGCTGTGTCACCCCCCCCCAAAAAGAAAGAATTGCCTGCAACTTGGTTGCGTTGCATCGCAAGAGATAGAAATCAATCCTATTTCACGCAGCTGACTTTATGCAATGTCGGATCAGTGAGCAGAAACGAGTTGGCTTGACTGGTCATATTGTTCCGTTTGGGAACTCTGACCCAGTTGTCGTAGCTGTCGGTGCTGCTGCAAACTGCGACAGAAGAGTCATGCCAAATGGGTAATCTAGAAAACATCGTAGACAGCAGCATGGCTAGTCATGGGGAACATTGGTCTGGGCAGTCCGTCACGTTTAGAAGTGAAGGCAGACCTTTTCTCCGTCCAGTTTCAACATGAACGGCGCTAGCTAGCTTAGCTCATCGCATTCATGAAACCATGATTTGATGGATGACAGGATTGGATGTTACGTGCAATTTCAATTGCGTTTTTTTTGAATTTCTTTGTGTGTCAGCGAAGTTGCTTGAGATGTCGCTTGCGTCTGAACAGGAATTGCGTCCAAATTGCTTCGTGTGACACAGGCTTTACAATTGAAGTGCAGATATTTGATTTATTCTGCTTGTTCTTTGGTGTTATGGGTTACCAGGTTACTGTTCAGCACCTTGTGATAACTGGTCACATAAAATGGCTTTATAGAAGACATTGGATTGATTTGATCTTTAACCACTTTCTTCTCCCCCATGGGGATCTGATTTAGAAACAGGTTTTTATTTCAGCCGGCTAATGAATAAAACTGCGACCTTTTTGACACCGTAATAACTAACCTTATTAATGAAGTGATTTTATAATTGTATTTAATCACTTTCTCTTCCTCTACAGGGATCTGGTGTTCATATGGAGTAAACTCCATCTGCGGGTCAACCCTTCCAAACAGGTCTTCCTGGAAGAGAGCCATCGGCTGATGCTGTCCGCCACCAACATCAAATCAATATTCCCTTTCATGAGAGTGATCCTTGCAGAGGTGAGCCGGGGAACTCGTGGGACTGTTGATTGGCTTTATTTATTTGTTGCTCAAATTACTGCGGACATTATTTTTTATTTTATTTTTAGATGTAATGGAGTCGTTGTAGTGTAGAGGATTATGTCAAGTTGCTTTGATTTGGGTTTTTAGCTAGTTAAGGTGGCTTGGCTTAGTTCAGAGTTTATTTTATTTGTTTTATGTTTGTTGAGGAGAATATTTGTGATGTGTTTGCTTCCTGTTTTTTTTACACGTCAGAGCCATGTTTTTTTCCATTGTGTTTCATCTGATAACTGCATACTAGAGATATGAATAGAAGCCAGGCTTTTTTTTTTGTGTTGACTGAAAAATTGTGCTGAACTGACAAACATACCGTCAGCTTACATGATCCCGGGGTGCGTCTCAAATGGGCCCCCTATTTATGGGCCCTGGTAAAAGATAGTGCACATGTATGTGTATAGGGAATAGTGTTCCGTTTGGGACGCAGCCCTGATCATGATTAGGCCTCCTCTTTCTCTTTTTAGTGTGATCGTTTTCTATGTACAGTCAAAAAATGGACGCCCTTGATTTAAAGATGCGCGACAAAGACTGTATATATATATATATACGATGCAAATACCGAGCTATATTGTACGCTCCAAAACCATTTTGATAGTATTTTATACTAATACAATTGCTCAGGGAAAGATTGAGTTTAACAAGTACTATTTATTTTCAAAATTATTGGCACCCCTGTTTTTTTTTTTCCCAATACCTTTCAATACCTCAACTTGCGAGTATAATATAACGGCACTGAGTCTTTTTCTATGTAGGTATGGGGTTATTTTCTGCTTATGCATCCTTTATTTTTTTCGACACCAAACCCACCCCTGTTGTGCACCTCTATTTTCATGTCATCCAACAAATATAAACGGCGTAAGGCCTTTAGAACCTAGAAGAACCTTTTGAATCTCCGGACCAACTGCCTGCTAAACGGCACTTGGATTGGAACCGGTGCTTTGGTCAGATGACAATGAAAATAGAGGTCTTTGGCCAGGCACAGCAGTGGTGGGTTTGGAGTCGAAATAAGGATGCATGAGTAGAACATAACAGTAAAGTACGGTGGTGGATCTTTTGATGTTACGGGGCTGTTTTCCTTCCACTGGGCCCTAGGGGCCCTTGTTAAGGTCAACAGCATCTTGAACCAGGACATTTTAGCCCAAAATCTGGTTGCCTCCACAAGGAGGCTAAAACTTTTGCTGCAAGTGGATCTTCCAGCAAGACGACAACCCCAAGCACACATCCATAATTCACAAAGAAATGGTTAATTGACCACAATCTACATTTTAGCAATGGCCATCTCAGTCTCCGGACCTTGAACCCCCATTGGAAAAAGGATCTGGAAAGATTCTGTATGGAGGAGTGATCTAAGATTCATCCCAATGTGTTCCTGCAATCTTATCAAACCTTTTTTTTTTTTTTGAAAAGGATCCGTGCCGTTATCCTCGCAAGGTGAGGTATTGACAACCGGCCAATCATTTGGACCCTATCTTTTTGAGACCCAAAAAAATATTATTGTATTAGTATAAAATAATATTTGACTTTTTTTTGTGGTTGCATACAATATAGCTCAGTATTTGTATTAGTTTGATGGTATTCTTTGCTCTTTTTTTTTATCAAGGGTGGCAATAATTTTGGACCTGACTGTGTGTATCTATATGTCTGTGTGTGTGTGTGTAGCAGGGGTAATTCATTGACCCCTTCTGTTGTATTTCTCTCTTGCTCTCCCCAGCTGGGGAAGGATGGTCTCCAGTTCTGTGTGGAGCTCTGCACCCACGCCCTCCAGACGAACCCCTGCGACTCCGCCACCAAGTCCCTCATCTACAAGACGGTGGCCTACCTCCTCCCCAACGACCTGGAGGTCTGCCGGGCCTGCGCCCTCCTCGTCTTCTTCCTGGAGCGCACCGTGGAGGCCTACAAAACTGTCCTCCTCCTCTACACCCACCCCGACCAGGAGTACAACGCCGAGGCCGGCCCCATCGGAAACCACATCCGCTTTGAGATCCTCCAGACCCTGAAGAGAGGCCTCTACTTCGACCCGGAGTTCTGGAACCTTTTGAATCTCCGGACCAACTGCCTGAAGCTGATGAGCGAGAAGAAGGCGGCGTTGGCAAGGATGGTGGAGGAGGAGGAGGAGATGGGTGGGTGTCCAACTACTGCACCACCACCACCACCACCACCACCAAAGAGCCCTGTCGCGGCCGGAGTGCTGACCTGTCTGAGCGCGTGCAGACTAAACACGTAGAGATTAAACCGGCTAAACCAGCACAGAAACACGTTCAGATTAAACCCTTTCACCAGGTAACGGCGCCCAAAAGGCGGTTCCAAAAAGAAGAGAAGAATCACATTTCGACGGCGCCGGTGGCGGCCAAACGTGTCAAAGCTCAAAGGTTGGAAAAGACCGTAGAAAATACCTCTGTCGAGCCGCGGCAGCCGCCTGTTAATCATGTGACGGCGAAAGCTAAGACGGAGAAGCCGGCTGAACCCCCTGAAGTTGAGGAACAACCCGTATTAAAAAGAAGAGGAAGGAAGCCTGGGCCGAAGCCGGGACCGCGGTCGCCTGCGAGAGCGACGGAGTCCTCAGCCGAGACCGCCTCTGTCAGACGGTCCTTCAGACAACTGGACATGGCGCAGGAGAACCTGGCCAGGCAAGTCGGTCACGGACAACACAGGCACATGACCAGACTCTCAGAGAAGAAACCTCCGAAACGGCGGGGCAGGAAACCCCGTTGGCTACTGGAAGGCACGTTCCAGGCTGAGAACAGCGCTCCCCGGACGGGTCGCCAACCGGGCAGGAAACCCCCGCGGCAGAAGACCCAGCAGACGCCAGCGGAGAAGACTGGTGCCGCTGTCAACGAAAGCGCAGCCGGACAAAAGGACGCCGCGACGTCGCAAAATAAAACTGCGGCCGCTCGTCTGACAGCGCCGAGGGAACAGGAAGGTAAACGTCGGGAGGAGACTCCTGCTACCAACCGCCTGCCGGCAGCGGCTCCTGCTTCTGACTTGAAGCTGGAGGTCTCCTTACCTGACAACGAAGTGATCGGGGTCTTCCCTGAGGACTCTCTCAGTAGGCGAGGACTGGTGACTCCAAACTGTGACGAGTCTAAGGCGCCAATCCAGGCACAGTATCAGGTGAAGCATCGACTCGGAGAGGAGTTTATCCTTTCCACTCAGAACGCCAGTCTCTTCATACAGCGGTTGCACAGCTACGCCCAGACGCCCAATGCGGAAGGTGTCACGTTGAACGCTGAGACCTGTTTGTTGAAAGCGACGGATTTCCGTCCCTCCCTAAACCAAAGTTGTCTGCCGGTGCTAGGGCGACGCTTCAGGGTTATTTTACCAGACGTCCGCAACGGAAATGGAAGTTGAGGTCTCCTCGCAAACTGTCACTCCAACTGACGTTACTTTCACACCACGAGGTGGAGCTGTTGAACGCGTTGAAATTCCCAAGAATGAGGAAGGATTCTCTACTGATCCTCAGCAAAAATGTCCTCTATCCGTTCCCTCAGTGAATTCCATTGTTCCTAACAATACAGGTAGAAGAAGAACAATAAATAGAGAAGTAACTAATTTTCCAAGAGAACCAATGGAAGTTACCAATGTTCCAAAAAAGCTAATGGCTTCTGAAGTCAGGGATGTTTTAGAATCGTCAAGGAATACAGAAGTTACTGATATTCTGAAAGAGGCTATGGATATAGCAAACATTGGTGTGGAAGAAGCAATGATGGGTGACACTGGCAGCGTCCCTGAAAAGGAAACTCCAGAGCTTGTTGCTCCTACACCTTTCTGCTGGTTGGCTAATAGCTCAATGGAAGCGTTTGCCAGAGAGTTTGAAAAGTTTGCCAAGGGTCCGGATTCTGATGTAGAGAAAAACCAGGAGCCGGTGACACCACAGACCACAGATAACGTCTCGCACAAAACCTTGGAGACGACATTGTCAACATCCCCAAAAGTCATCCCTGAGGACATCACAGACCCAGTGGTCCCTGAGGACACTTCAAAAGTAACCGAAGACACCCTGCAAAACATGGACACTCCACACACCCAACAGCTTACAGAGGAGATCCCACAGAATACACATGATACCCCACAGTACCACGAGAACACGTCAATGCACACTGCAGACACCCAACTGGACATTAAGGGTACTTCACAAAACACGGCGCCGGAGGATACCCCAGTGGCCATTGGAAACTTCCCACAGCTCACTGGTGAGACCCGACAGCTTGAGCAACCCCTGAAAGGCACTGTGGATACTCCAGAGGTCCCTGTGGACTCGCCGCAGGACAATGACACCCCTCAGATCACCGAAGACCCCCCACAGATTACACAGGACATCGGACAGCTCACAGAGGACACCCCGGAAGTCACTTTCACAGAAGTCACTGTGGACACACTATCACAGAACACACAGGAGGACAGCTCGGAGATAATTGAGGATACCCTGAAAGTCACTGAAACCCCCCAGAAAGTCACTGAAGACGGCCTGTGCGTCACTGTAGATGCCTCCAAGCACATTGAGGACAACCTACAAATACAAAACACTGCAGACACCCTACAGGACACCCCAAAAGTCGCTGAGGGCACGCCACAGCTCACAGTGGACGCCCCAATGGTTGATGAAGAGCCCACCAAGGACACACGGGACGCCACACATAACAATGGGGACACCCAACAGGTCACTGAGGACACCCCAAGAGTCCCTGAAGACACGTCACGTGAACCCAAAGACACCTCAAAGGTCACCGGAGATACCCCAATCGTCTCTGAAGACACCCTAAAAGTAACCATTGATACTTCGGAGGTCACTGAAGACCTCTCAATGATCGCTGAAGACACCCCGAAAGTCTCTGAAGTTACCCCACAGAACACACAGTACAACTCACTGGTCACTCTGAAAGTCACTGAAAGTGCTCACATTCCTAAGGTCACCCCAAGAGTCCCTGAAGACACGTCACAGGACCCCAAAGTCACTGAAGACCCTCCACATAAAACACAGGACACCCCAAAAATCACTAAGGACACCACCCCAATGGTCTCTGGGGATATCGCACAAAACCCTGAAGAAGGCACCCCACGGGAGAATGAGGACAGCCAACTGGCATATCGCTGTAGTCTCTGCAACAAGGTTTTCAGAGGCAAACGTGTCATAGCCCACGCCATGTACCACTTCCGCAGGGACCAATGTATGTTCTGTAGGACGCTGTTCAAAAACGACCTCCTCGCCATGATGCATCTATCCCGACACATCGAGAAGTTGAAAAAAGGAAACGTACCGGCTGATTTTGAGGAGGTCCACGAGAACTGGACACCCGACACGCCTGAACGCTCAACGCAGAGGGGGAGACGGGGGCGCAAGAGGATCTCCGTAAACTCCACAGATGGCGCAGAGGCAGCTCCACCGGATTACAGGAAGCTACGGTCGACGAGCAATAGGATCTCTGTAAACTCCACAGATAGCACAGGGTCAACTCCGCCGGATCGCAGGATCTTACGGTCTAAACCTAAGCTACGGTCGAGCAATAGGCTCTCAACTGACTCTCGACCTTCCCCAGAGACTAAACTCACAACAGAAGAGTCTGAAGACAAGCAGTCGATACAGAGGGTCAATGGACACGTGGGCAGAAGACGGGTTGAGGTTGAAGGAACTGAGCGTGACGGTGATACTCGGGCAGAGGAACAAGAGAAGATCAGCAGGCGACAAGAGGAGGAGCACTCGGCTCTGGAACAGAGGGAAGAATCAACAGGTGAACAAGGGGGAACGTCTTACTCTCCTCTGACAAAGACTTTGGAAGAAGAAGAGCAACCCTGCTCCTCAGCGAAGACCATGGAGGACAAAACAGAATCTCAGTCTGTGTTGGTAACACAGGACAGGCTTTCAGTTTCCCCTCTAGAGACCTCCGTTCAGGGCAAGGAGACTCCCAGCAGCTGCCCTGTGGAGGGATGCGCAGAGATATTCATTGGAAAACGGCGTTCTCTCCTCGGACATATTCTGGATGATCACCGCGGCGACGCCAAACCCTTGGAAGCGACATTCCGCCACGGGAATGGAAAATGCAGTATTTGCCAGAAGCCTGGGATGACTTTGCAGCATTACCAGCACCACATTGCATGGCACAGAGGAATCCCCAGGCATCCCTGTCTACATCGTGGCTGTAAAGCCCGGTTCAGTGCAGCGCCAGAAATGAGAAACCACGCCAAGACCCACCAGCCCCTCCGGGCGGTGTGCTGCTTCCCGGGCTGTCAGGAGCGCTCGGCTTGTCTTCTGGAGCTGAACCGTCACGAACGAGAACACTATCGTCTCCCAGAGGAAGGGGAGGATGCGCCTGTTTTTGATACCCTTGTCGCCAACGCCGCCTCTGTAAAGGTGATAAAAAAGTGCAAGGTGACGAAGAAGATGAAGATGATGAAGGGTGTGAAGAGACGATGGGCTCCTGGAGAAAAGGAGGCGTCAGCTGCTGATCCCACTACTACAGCAAAGGTAACCAGGAAGTGTGACTTCACCAAGACGTTAAAGAAAACACAGGTCATAAAGAAACGGCGTGTTCATAAAGACAGTGATCCCCCTGCTTCTGCTCCCCCTACCGTCTCTGTAAAGGTAACGAGTAAGTTGAAGAAGTTGCAGGTTAAGAGGAAACCGTGTGTTGGTAAGAAAATGAACGCCCCAACGGCTCCCATCACCACCGCCGCTGAACAAGTGACCAAGAAGTTAAAGATGATGCATAAAAAGGTAAAGAAAGCGTGGGCTGTGAAGAGACAGAACGTCAGCAAAGAAAATTATACTCCAACCGGACCGCTCACCTCCACCACAATTACCACCACTGAAGAAGTTACCAAAAAGCAAAAAATTATAAATAAGTCGGAGAAAATACGGGTTGTTAAGAAACCGAATGTTGCCGAAGAAAAGGAAACTGGTCCAGCCACCGACGAAGAGGTGGCAGAAAAATCAAAGGTGGCTGATAAGTTAAAGAGAACACCACCTGTAAAGAAACGGAGCGTTAACAAAGACCCCAGGAAGATCTCAAGTGTTAGCACCGACAAGGATACCCCAACTGTTCCTCCCACCGCCGCTCCAAAAGACCCCAAGAAGTTACCCAAGGTGACGGATAAGTTAAAGAAAACGACACGAGTTCTGAAGAAACAAAGAGTCAAGGAACCCAAGAGGCCTGCGGGCGAAGAACACAAGAAGACCTCCAAAAAGCCTGCCAAGTCAAAGACCTCTGGTCCAGAGAAACGCGTTAATGAAGTTACAGAAGTGCCAGGAAGTGAAGACACAGAGGTGGTAGGAGGTCAATCAGAGGAAGAAGATGATAAACCATTGGTGGGAACATCAGACTCAACAGCTAGCAGTGTCTGTGACCAGAAGATGGTTAACGGACACTTAAAGGAGATCACTAAAGAATCACCAAAATACCAGAAAAGTATTAAAACAAGCACAGACACCAAATCCAAGAAATGCAAACCACGGAACCATAAACCCACTACTCCCAAAACCCCTACAACTACTCCCAAAACCCCTATCAAGAAGGAAGCGGCGAAACCCCCCACTTTCTTTGGGAAGATTAGCAACAGGCCGTACATTCGGCCTCCGCCCACAGCCTACCTAGACGAGAGGTACACCACCATGCCGAAACGCAGGAAAGAGATGTCCTGGACCCTGGATCGCTCTCCGATCTGCCCAACCCTGGTGGAGGCCACAGGGGAGACGGGTACACAGTTGGTCCATAGGCAGCGCTGTGCCAAGTGTTTCTTGTCCTTCGACAGTGGAGAGGAGTTACAGACGCACCTCTCGCTGAAGAAGTGCGCAAACTTTTTCGGCTTCGACTCAGACGAGGAGAGTAAGTACAAGATTTTGTCAAAAAAAATCAAATCAAATTGTATTTGTCACATGCGCCGAATACAACAGGTGTAGATTTTACAGTGAAATGCTTACTTACAAACCCTTAACTCTATTTCTTGAACTGCATTGTTGGTTAAGAAAATATTTACCAAAATAAAGTTTAAAAAAAACCGGTACCGAGTCAATGTGCAGGGTACAGGTTAGTCGAGGTAATTTGTACATGTAGGTAGGGGTAAAGTGACTATGCATAGATAATAATAAACAGTGAGTAGCAGCAGTGTAAAAACAAAGGGGGGTATATATGTTAATGGTCCGGGTGGCCATTTTGATTAATTGTTCAGCAGTCTTATGGCTTGGGGGTAGAAGCTGTTAAGGAGCCTTTTGGATCTAGACTTGGCCGTGCGGTAGCAGAGAGAACAGTCTATGACTTGGGTGACTGGAGTCTTTGACCATTTTTTTGGGCCTTCCTCTGACATATACTGAGGTCCTGGATGGCAGGAAGCTTGGCCCCAGTGATGTACTGGGCCGTACGCACTACCCTCTGTAGCGCCTTGCGGTCGGATGCCGAGCAGTTGCCATACCAGGCGGTGATGCGACCGGTCAGGATGCTCTCGACGGTGCAGCTGTAGAACCCTTTGAGGATCTGAGGACCCATGAAAATGACTTGTTATTAACATATATTTGTCTACTTCAGGGATTCGATTTCTCGTTGTTTGATTGAATGAAGAAAAAAAAAAGACTAGTCTGTGTCCTGGGAAACCACCCCAAAGTGTAGTAGATTATAGAAATGATCTTTTTAAATGTGATTTTCCTCCATATTGTTTATGCTGAAAGCTCCAGAGACCGTATGCTTATTGGGTTTTACCGTTGTTCCAGGTAAATGCTGAAGCTGATGGACAAGAGGACATGTTTGGATGTGCTGCTGCTGGGGGGGGATGTTGAACCCCTCCAAAACCTGCTAGGGGTGTTGTTGAACCCCTTTTTGACCCTGCTACCTTACTGAGGATGACCAGGGTTACAGGACTCTTAACATGGCATGCTGGCTAGCCTGGGGACAGCCAGGCCTTCCTTTGTGACTGAAGCTGGCCGACGGCTACAGCAGGAAGACCCCTCTCAACCCTGCTACCTTTTATTGAAGAGGATTCTTACAGAGTTAACTCTTACATGACATGCCGGCTAGCCTGGGGACAGCCAGGCCTTCCTTTGTGACTGAAGCTGGCCGACGGCTACAGCAGGAAGACTGGGAGAACATTTTTTAAGGGTTGTGACCATTCTTCCCACGTTCCGTCTCCCTTGGTCATAGGAGTAACCTATAACCTTTTTGAACCCCGACCTCAAATCCAAAGTTTAGGGGTCTTTTGGGCTGTCCGATTGGTTGATGGACCAGGAAGTGTGGGTGAACTAAAGCCTAGAGGCCTTGTGAGGTGGACACTATGAGAACGGTAGGGCCGTCGGACAGTCAATGTATTATTTAGTTTATTTGTTTTCACAGTATTTTACTTTGGACTGAAGAAGTGCCTGGACCCAACCTGCCACTTCCTGCTTCTCTTCTATTGGTCAGTGGTCCATGGACTGCGTCCCCAAAAATGGCACCCTATTCCCTCTAAAGTGCACTACCCTATGTGGACACTCTGGTCTAAAGTAGTGCACTACAAAGGGAATAGGGTGTAATTTGGGACGCCGAGAGTTACGGCTGCGTCAAGGAATGACTCTTGAAGCTGTGAGAACTGATTTTTATGCAGGGATGTGAACTATACAACATGTTCAGATATTTAACACACTAAAAATATAGCTCATCTTTTTTTTTTTGCTTTTGCACTTCTCCCCTAACCCAGCAGTTCGATATCCCTGTTTCCCATCCTGCTGCAATGTTCTGCTGATCCCATTTGGCTTTTTTTTAAACGATTGTCATTGCAATGGATGATGACACATTGAACCGTCGGAGGATTCGTCCCAAATGGCAACCTGTTCCCTTTATAGTGCACTGCTTTTGTAGTATAAAGGGAGAAGTAGTACACTATGTAGGCAGTGCCGGGTTTAGAAATCAGCCCCCTGGGCTTTTTTTTCTTTTTTTTTATAGGACCCCCCCACTTACCGGCACACCATAATTTTCTGTAAACCAATCCGTGCACCAAGATGCAATTCGATGCCATGGTACATTTTTATTAGCTGAAGAAAAATACCCTTTATAATAGAGCCATAACATTGGCAGTATTTAATTTGTTTAAACTAATTTCATGCAATTCTACGTCATTTACATGACAGGAGATATTAGCTGAATCTTTTTAATAAATGACCGAAACGAGCGGCTCCTCTGACAAACTGGGATCAGTCTGTTATTGAATTCAAACAAACGATTGCCCAGGCCAATGAAGCCACACACAGATTGTACAATATTAGGAGTGTGTATATATATATAAAATAATAGGCTACTAAATACAATTTCCAGTGGCACACTGAACGATGAAGCCATAGTGATGGCCGACGCGCTCCTTACATTTACATTACATTTACGTCATTTAGCAGACGCTCTTATCCAGAGCGACTTACAAATAGGTGCATTCACCTTATAGGCAGTGGGATAACCACTTTACACATTTTTTTTTGGGGGGGGGGGGGGGGGGGGGGGGGGGGGGGGTTAGAAGGATTACTTTATCCTATCCCAGGTATTCCTTAAAGAGGTGGGGTTTCAAATGTCTCCGGAAGGTGGTGAGTGACTCCGCTGTCCTGGCGGAGTCACCATTGGGGTGCTCCTCTTGGCAGTAACCTATCTCAAGATGAGCTACTTTTAAAAAAACACTGCTGCTGTTCGCAAAAAAATTGAGAGTTGAGAAAACATTGTTTCTATTGGCTACAGACCAGATTAGTCTTCTCTTTTCAGCAGTAGGCATTTTTGCTTTCCAACCTTTTTTTTTAGCGTTGTGCCCAGTAACCGAAAGGTCGCTGGTTCTAATCCCCCGAGCCGACCTAGGTGGGAAAAATCTGTCGACGTGCCCTTTAGCAAGGCACTTAACCCTAATTGCTCCTGTAAGTCGCTCTGGATAAGAGCGTCTGCTAAAATGACTATTAAATGTTCAAATGTAACTGCCAAAATAAAGGAAACACTTGAGTAAATGAGGGATACAAAGTTTATGTGGTGTGTTTTCCCGGCATGGTTTAGGTCCACTTGTAGAATCTATGCCAAGGCTCATTGGGACAGTTCTGGCAGCTCGTGGTGGCACAACACCTTTTTAAAGATGCTTTACGTTGGGGGTTTCCTTTATTTTGGCAGATACCTGTATTTGATCAAATTTAATCCACTGTTTTTTTTTTTTTTTTTTAAACTATTGATCCTCTGTTGGCGAAATTTATGTTCTCTGGTGTATTTTGAACATTGAGAGCGGGCTCCAGTGTTTTGGATATATTTGTAATTATTTTTTATGACGTATTATTATTATTTTGATGTGCCTCTTGGGCCCCCAATGGGCTTGGGCCCAGCCCTTGACTCACACAATTTACCAGTCACATTTAATTTATTATGCTGTTTGTTTTATTGATCAGTTACCCAATCAAGGCAGGGCCCCCCCCCCCCCCACCCCCAATTACCCATGTGGGCCCCTATCCTCCTCTCCTCCCTCCATCTGACGATTAGCAGAGCGGCAGCAGGCTGCCTAGACTCATTGACAGAGGGCTCCTGAATCCTCCTGTGGTTGGCGGTTGCAGTAAAAAAAATAAATATATATATATATCTAATATATACTGTATAAGATCGAACTAATTTTGTATTTCTTTTTGCCTCTTGGGCCCCCCACGGGCCTGGGCCCAGGGGCTTCAGCCCCCGGTAAGCCCCTGCATTAATCTGGCCCTGTATGTAGGGAATAGGTCAATTATGTCCAAGTGTCTGCAATGTGCAAAAGGGCCTTTTTTCATTCTATAATACTTCTTAGATTTACTGTAATGCAAACAACAACAACAACAACATGTTTGAACATGTTAGCCATAAACAACATTCCATATTTTAAATGTACTTTTATTCACTTTAATTTTTTTTGTGTGCGATGAACATGACTTGTAATCAATACTAATAGTTTATTGCACATTTTTTTTTAAGTTTCACACTTTTTTTTTGTATATCTATCTGGGATGAGTTGACGTGATGTCGGTCAGTCTCCACACAACCAGAACTATGTTGTCAGCTGCTGTTCGTAGTATCTCTCTGTCCCAAATGGCACCGTATTCCCTGTGTACTACTTGGGCCCATAGGGTACGCTATAGGGTGTAGGCCAGTGGGTACGCTATAGGGTATAGGCCATAGGGTACGCTATAGGGTATAGGCCAGTGGGTGCTACTTGGGATGCATTTTTATAGAGGTTAGGAACTTTTGTTACACGTATTAACTGACCCATCTGTCCCCCCCCCGAACCGACAACGCTGCGTCTGGTTGGTCAAAACAACAGTCCATTGATACGGTCTAGGCTCAAAACACGGACTAGGCTAAACGCTTCTTTAAGCTTCTGACATCGTCCTCACTTTTTGAAAAGAGAAGAGAATGAACTATTGTTGTGGTGTCACTGGGGGGGGAGACGGCGTCACCGTGTGGTGACTGACGGTTCTACTGAAGCTAACAGAACAGTGGCAGCAGGTGTAATGTATTATCCATGTGCTTTTTTTTCTATTTTACTCCTGTAAATATGTGAAGAGTTTGAATGGCTTATTATAACTGGGTGTTGGAAATGGGTTTATATATCAGGCTGTTGATGTAAAATAATAAAACACATTGTTAAACTGGTATAAGTCTACCAAGTCTTTATTTGTCAAGAGTTACCAGTACAGTCGTGATCAAAAAGTTTTGAGAAATGACACAAATACTAATTTTCACAAAAGTCTGCTGCCTCAGTTTTGATGATGGCAACTTGCGTATACTCCAGAATGTCATGAAGAGTGATCAGATGAATTGCAATTAATTGCAAAGTCCCT